CGATGTTTGAGGTCGGTTTATCTTGGCACAGTGACAGAGGTAAAGATAAGAATTACAGCGGTCATTGGGGTGGAGTACGTTGGTTCGGCACTGCTCCGATAAGGTTGTGTACACAGTGCGGGTCAGTTGAGTGCAGTATGAGGAACCACCTATTAAAGCCATTTAAGTGTGGTGACCTGTCTTTTAACAAACATGGATGAGTAATCATATGAGCGCGGATATATGCATAGAATTTTAACTATGTGGTTTTCGGCAGCGTATCAATGCGTGGTAGGCAGTGCCTTTATGTAATGGCGAGGCACGTCCGCCACGTCGCAGTGTTGTTAAACAGACAGTTGTGGTAGTTCGTAGGGTGAATGCGCGTCAGGATAAACTGGTCGGCCTAAATAGCCAAGGCGATTCCAGGCTAGCCCCTCCAGCTGATAGACCACACGTGTGGATCATATATTCTGTATGTCTTCAGTAGTGCGTTGAATACACCCCCAAGCCTAGTATGCTTGCGAGATAAGTGTGCCCTCGCCATACCTCGACCAGCTTGATAGCTGGCTTACTAGCTGAACAAACTCCACCTGGTGCCAGCTGGGTGGTTCGGGTTAGACCCGTTCCAGTGAATAGCACGGCGGCCGTGTTCCGGAACTTAGTGGGTATGCGCTTGGCAAGCGTCCTTTCTACAAAAACCATAATGGTCCGTTTAATGACCCTGCGGCTTGTCGGATGCAACTCGCCACTAAATAAACTCACTGTCGCTTTTGCTTCCGGAGAATCCCCACTTCAGTAACGTCAGCCGGTTCGAAGAATACCTTTGGTCCCTTCGTACGATGGTGAACACAGCATATTCACGAATTCAATTACTCTTCAAAATTTCACTCACCATGACCGCCTAAACGTACTCTTACATATTTACGGACCTACAACCATTATGTTACTGGTTAACTTGCTTTATTTTTATGCACTTACCAACCATGCCTCTTTGTATTACCCTGAACATGCCTTCGAAGGCTTGGCCCGCACTGCCGGAGATAAACTTTTTATTCATTTATTTACCGAGCTCAACTGTTTCCCCAACAAGGCAGGTCGGGTAAGCCTGCATGGAGCATTCTAAATGGGGCCGAAAGAATGCCGGGTACAGGTACTCAAAGATGTCTGCAGTTAAGTCCCCGAACGAACCGCGGTTAAAACAAAACATTCAAAAATACCAACTTGCTGCCTTCCGCCAGTACTTACTCGAATAAATCTTCGAGGAATGGAACACACCTAAGTCAGCTTAGTTGGAGGGGTGTGGGCATTTAACCCACCGAGCACGTACCACAAAGATTGATATGTTGTTCTACTAGAAGAATGGACCGCTTAGCCTGCTTAATTAACAGCAGCTGCAGAGTTGGCCAGTTTATAACCTTACACAGGGCGTATGGAATGGCTTTTGTATCTTGATGGTCGCCAAGCGTATTCCACCAATTAGAGTCGTTAGCAAGTGATAACGCAGATACTCACTCTCCCCAGGGAGATGCTTCACGCAGATGGAGAACAAGAGAGGCACAAAGCCTGCGTAATTAGGGACACCGCTAGCGACCGGTTATATAATTATTAGGCTGTGATACACACGGAGATATCGTTTGCTTCCTTGCAAGCATACAGCCACCCAATAAAGTGTATGTCCAGTTACACCATGGCATCTCAGCTTTTAAGCTAAAAATGTGTGTACCGTGTCAGACGCTTTCGGGATACCTACGGAAACCGCGCCCACCACGTGGGCATTGCTCACTGCCTCTGCCTAACCTTTACGTGCTACCACTTCATTTGTTAGACACGAAAATCGCTTCAGGAATCGGTGTTGTGCACTACTGAGTAGAGAAATTCTACTCAAAAGACCATCGATATAAACCACCTAAGCTTTCCAAACAGTTTTCTTCAGCCGCTAGTCGGACTGACTGGGCTATAAGTGGTAGAGGGACACCAGTAGCCACTTTTGAAGAGGCGAGGGAGGACAACTTCCTTCCATTCGGTCCGTAATATACCGTTTCATATAATGCTAAACCACCGTCATGGAAGGTTTACTCAGTGCGGTCGCCAACACATGCTGGTGGTTGAAAGCAGGCCCAACTTCCTTGGAATGACACAGTTCTTCCAGCAACCCAAGAACTTGCCATTCCGACACAGTAACTCAAACTAATTACGAACCCGTAGCCGGTTCAAAAGCAGTCTACGCGAACTTAGGTAGAAATCCCCTACATGCTGGTCGTCAAACAAAAAAACCTCTTCAGGGTAAATATACGAATGATTTTCATCGGTCCGCAGCAAAGCCCGAAGTTGAAGGATGTTTGTGAGTATCGTAAGTTTCGTAGAGGGTAGAAGTCACGATTAACCTCCACACGAAAATCTGCCTCGACGGGGAATCGAACCACGGTTCACGAATTTCCGGTCCGCTGCTATACCACTAAGCTACCGAGGGCTGACGATTGGGTGCGGAACTTAAAACATGACTTCTGCTTGGTGCGCGACGTATTGCCAATGAGCTAGCAGTAACTGTCCTGGTGTTGCAGATCGGCTCACTCACTCGTCACTTCATAGTGGACCGAAGTAACTGTCCATCCGAAGTCCAAAGGGCGATGATAGATTAGTTGAAGGATGTCTGTGAGTAACGTAAATTTCGTAGAAGGTAGAAGTCACAAACATCCTTCAACTAATCTATCATCGCCCTTTGGACTTCGGATGGACAGTTACTTCGGTCCACTGGGAAGTGACGAGTGAGTGAGCCGATCTGCAACACCAGGACAGTTACTGTTAGCTTATTGGCGATCCGTCGCGCACCAAGCAGAAGTCACGTGTTATGTTCCGCACCCAATCGTCAGCCCTCGGTAGCTTAGTGGTAGAGCAGCGGACTGGAAATTCTTGGACCGGGGTTCGATTCCCCGGCGAGGTAGATTATCGCGTGGAGTTTAAACGTGACTTCTACCTTCTACGAAAGCTCAAATTGCCGAAGTTGCACCACATCACCACTTAACGCATGCGAAGCACTTCGGAGGTTCAGTAGCTCCATCAGCCAGTTAACTTGGTATACCGGCCGAGCATTGCTTAAGCAGTTATCTATTTCTAGCCGAGTTTTGGTCTGAGACAGGATGCACTGGCAAACGTGAACCTACTTGGTACATGGCTGTGCAGCAAAAGAATTCACTTGTACTCATCGCCACGACCTTTGTCTAGGTTGCCTAGCTGGACCAACCAGAAAGATATACACGATCAGCAAAATTAAGTAACTGATTGTTTACTTATCTGAACGATCAGCAGTACGAATATTCGTAATTCTCCTATCCTCGACCGGCCAAAACGACTAGCATGGCCCTAACCAAGCCAACAGAGGAAATTAGAACTCATTCGCTTTAGAATAACCGAGAATGAAATCAGTCGCCAAGCTACTTTGCCAGTTGTCCATCAGTGTTCAAAAGGATTTACGGCAAGGTTGCAGGAAGTAGTAGGCTTTTGCCTGGCTGGCATTCTCCTTATACAAAGCCACAAATGCCTGTTTAAGTACACCGCGACGCGGCGGATATGACTCGACACTGAATCAGGTCACTGCTCAAAACTAAATACTGGCATGTCAACCGTAGTCATATTCCAGTCTTCCTTATCACGTACAAGGCTATGATATCGATGTCGACATCCACCGTTTTCACTACACTTATAATGCCTTGACTGTTCACATTACGCACAATGGAACCCAACATATGGTCAACCACTGAAGCCTTTATTTCTCATGCTCACTTATTGCATTTCGGTAGCCTTAACAACTTTCGTCTACTACTGCTTACCTACATACCAACATGTCTGTTGCGAATCATAAGTGCCTGTAACTTTTAATCATGCCTGGTGTGCCTCGCTAAGTTCGAAATGAACTATGGGTTTATTTATTTAACATACTTCCTAGTTGTTAAAGTGGCTAGGTACGCCCTCTAGCCCTTAGACCGCATTATGTGCAAACACGTGCCAGTGGTAGGTATCCACGGGGCGGAGCGCGAGCCACTTTCCTCCCCATGAGCGTTATGTAAGGAGCAGACGCATCCTTGATGTAAGACTTAATTCCAGAATAAATGAACCGTGTCAGCTGCCACGATTTCGTAACGCCTGCATTGCTCGATAGAGTGCAGGCAATATGTTTGGATAGGGCTCAATGTTGCGCTGGTTGACGTATGAACAAGGCAACCTAATTGGTAGACTGATGCTCCCCGCCAACTAAATGCTAGTCATAAGCAAGGTCCGCTCCGATATCCAGTGAGTTCAACAAAACCAAGTCCAAAATTGCGAGTAGTTGGGACTCCACGTACGAAGTGTGGGATCCATGCATTGGTACAGTGGAACGTACATCTATAGTTCGAGATCTGCACCAAAACTACATGTTATTGAGCCCCAGGAAACGTCAGCTCAGCAAAACTCCTGGAGGCTAAAGTCGCCCAGCAGCAACCACTTATGTGCAGTCTAAGAGCGGATAAATTGGAGTACATGTGAAGTACTAGCAGGGCTTATATGAACAACTCCCACCGTAATTTAAGCCATGAAAGCGCAAATGCCAGACGCTAGAATCTTGCCAGTTTTTTAGACAGACTGAACTAAGTGCATTCCCAAAACATTAAAGTTACTGCCCAAATAATGAACCACGCCCCACCCAGCCGACCAACGAAGCTCTCAGACCTAAACCGTGCATAGCCAGACAAGTGTAGTTCCCCGTTTCTAATATCCTAAGCCGAGCATTTTTAAACTACCCTTTGAAAGCAACTCCTCGAGCACGCCAACTACAAAATTTCCCACCATGGATGCGAAAGTGAAACAGGAAACAAGTGATCAAAAAGTATAATATGTTGCACTAAATCAATGTGCAATTCACCATTATATGTTAACTAACGTAAGCATATTAATTACGCGTTCGTCATTTGTTTTGCTTTAGCAACCTTTCAGCAAATGACCGTGTAAGCGTTGCGGCTATTCGAGTGCCGTTGTTAGGTCTCTCAATGACTTCCTTAGTGGAGGCTATTCAGAAGAAATATGAGAAATTAACTGAAGGCCGAATATTTGAAACGTTCGTACAAAGGAGTCCAAATCGTGTTGGAGCCAACATATTGTTTCCTGCGAGAACTTTGTCCATGGATTGCCAGCGGATATCAAAAGTGGGAAGTGAGGAAGAACTGTTCCGTGCCGCTGGGCATGTAGTAGAGTTAGACCTCGCTGGAAACAAACTTTGCTGTTGGAATGAGGTAAGTATTAGCATATTACCTGCTTTTGTCAATTAAATTGAGCAGTTATGTATCCACCTGTGAACACAAGAAATATTTCATAACTTTTCATATCTTGCACAAAATCCGGACAGAGATTACTCACGTTACTTAAGTAGTTAACGATTGGAACCGACTGCTGGACCCGATTGGTAATGCGCAATCATAAACGGGCTTCAACGATGTTAGCCACCTACTTACCGGGCATTCTAGCGTCCAGCAGGGTTACCACTACCTGATGCTAAACGATGTCACAGCAACTACACCTGTAATCCTTGGAAGACTTAGAAGAAACGAGCTGGCGCAGGACTTCCATTCGGATTCCTACTACTCAATGAACTCAATGATTTTAGATGCTTCTCCCACTTGCTAAACGCCTATTTGGATTCACCTTATAATGTGAACTATCTATGCCTGCCGTTGTGAAGCCTGCTCGTGACTTTCACTCTGATGTATGGTTTTACTGGAGCACTAAGGTCATTGAGTTTGTTAAGCTTGCCACCAACCTGACAATTTTTAGGACCTTAATACGCTGCACTATTATTGATATAACATAGCTTATGGTTATAAGGTGTTATTTACTGTTGTTTTATTATCAATACTATCGCATAGTTTACATCACGGTATGCTTTAGTTCACACGCAGAAAGGTGAGATAACTAAGAAGTAAATAATGCAGTGCATCTTAATAAGTCATTACACAATGCAATTATGTTGGTGCAGATATCCAGTCCCTTTCGGGTTGGTTTTTAAGCACTCGTAAAAGTCCGAAAATAAGAAAGATAGTGTGCTATATCTAAACATGGTCTTACCCCTTGCAATATGTCATCAACGCTACACACAACACAAGTGACCGGTAGATTGCCTCAGAGGGACCAAGTGGTGTGGTTTTCGCCGTCCTGATGATATGCATGTTAAAAATAATTATTAACCAATAGTTCCACTTGGGCTCACATCACTTAGCTTGCTTTGACTATTGTCGTTCGCTTTTACGTTCTTTTTAGGCAAACAGCATTTCATCTGCTTTACCCAGTACGATAAAAGTCGTGTGGCCTTTTTCTTTTTAAACCATGCCAACACAAACGCGACGAGTCTGTTATTGATGTTCGTTGTTCAGCTACCCGTTAGATATGAGCTTACACTTTGATTCACTTCAGATTCACTGAACGATATGCTATGAATTCAATTGTCCATACTCGTGGTATGTTAGATTTACCTTCTTGCTTAAGCACTCAATGCAAGCTTATTATTGCTAAAACCGTTTCTGGCTTCGTGTGTCATGGTATGCGCAAGAAATCAAGAAGTACACTCAAGCCCGTCGCCGATTTTTTGTTATGTTTTGCAGTATCTTCTTTGAAGCCTAAAGAATATAAAATATGTCTTACCATTGTGCGTCGTGCTTGCTTCTAAAAATTTGTAGAAGTTTTCACTATGACTTACGCAGCTTTCTGAAAGCCTACAGCTTTTCCTGGCCATGGTAGTACATACGATTTTGTAATTTGAGGCAAAGGAATTCGCAGATTGTACTAGTTCAAGTGATGCCCAACTAGCGTTAGCTTGACACAAAATAAAAATAAGCACCTATTCTTGCTAAACTCACTATGCGTTGATCATTTTGTGTTTATGATGACAAACTTAACGCACACAGTTAATCTCTTGGCGTTAGTATTGCTGCAGCGCATGTCCATTCACTAGAGTTTTCATCAGTTCAACGAAACACCACTTTCTACGTCATATCTACCTCAGCACTAGCAACTGACAAATCATGGATACAATTCCATGCTTCTGCATGTGGCCATGCCGTCCATCGTTTTAGCACTGATAACTAACCATCAGGCTTAAAGTATAGTTGGACAGTACCTGAAAGATATGGATAGTAACCGCATTTACGCTCAAGAGCTAATGTACAAAGACATTATTCTATCCCTTATGCATCATACAGCTGGTCAAATTAAATGGACAACCAGTATATGAAAGGTGTACTTGGCCGCTTACGTAAAGTAAAGCATTGTAAACAGTTACGCAACAACTCGTGGATTATCGTAAATAACTTGGTAACCACACAGTGCTCTTTTTGCCATTCATGGACAGTCCAGCACAACCTCACACACGAGCTGCCGTCTATCAGCCACCAAGTTGGACCGACTCAACGCCGCATTTGCGAGCAATTGGACTTCCGTAATATTTGCGGCCTAGTAAATACTAATGAATCTAAATCGGGCATTGTCAAACCGCATACAGTCGGATGGATAACCCAGTTCTATGCATGTGCTGGTCTACACCGCGGATTTATGTTATCCGCTTTGCTGTCTTCTCTTGATATCTGTTTATAACTGAGCGACGCTGCGTATGGGAGTGGTTGTGCATGTCACCAACATTTAAGGTAAAATTGTCGAAAATCGGAACAAGCTTTATGCACCCTAAGGAGTACGTTTTCAGCCTCAGTGATCACGGCTAGCGCGGTTGCTTGTTATCCCATCACCATTGATAAAGTGACTTATCCATTACTGTAGCATATGTTTCCATCTCTGTCCACTGGTCACCTAGCTTCATCGAATCTTGTGTACCTACCCCTGGATATCAAAGCGTAGAGATCAGGTTCTTATCAGTTATCTCCCTGCCTATTTTATGACATTGGCATATAAGCAGTACACTTTTAACCACAGTTTGCAAGTATTCTGCAAACTAATGAATTTAGAGCGTAAGAGAAAAAGCATGACCGTACTTTATTATCACTGTGGGACTCACCCTTTCAATACTAACTTTGGCTAAACTGGGTCAGTTTGGCTCAACTAAAGAGAAGTAGCTACGTATGCATCAGTCCAACCGATCATTCGGTAGTCCATGCACTGCCTGTTATGTCAAGTCTTGTAATTTTGTTGGACTAAGTCTGTAAAGACCGACTTGACGCAAACGCACAAAGCAAAACGTGCCAACAGTAGTTAGTGTACTGACTAGTGACTACGCCTGACAGTGAGATTAATGGTTGTTAACTTTTCTCTTAGGCCACTTGCGATCAGGAAAACAACCAAAGTCCTCTAGCATAAGCCGCAAGTGAGCATGCAAAATAGGTCCCCGAGCTAACATACCATATTCACTTTGCTTTTACGTTTGTTAACTCAGTTGTACAACCTCCGATGTATGCATTGCATTTTCAAGGTGCGGTGTGCTGTTACCTGACTTGGCCGACGCGCTATGACCCAATTACTGAACCCCGAGTAGAAGCGATCGCTCTTCCGTCAGTTAACTGGCCGTACCACACTTGGTGACCAAATCACTGAAAAACTGATTGCATGTAACCATACTACCTGCATGATATTCTAACTCCCTGATCATTCACCTAGACTGTGGAGAGGCAGCTTATCAGTTAGAAGTTAATGAGGCTGCAGTGCGGCTAGTTTTGTCCTATGTGACTTAGTACTCAGGTTAAAGACATTACTTGTCTCTTCATTTGCCAGTAATGCTTTTGGAGTATGGCTGACTTATGGTGATATCATCGAATACAGAAAGCGACTGACAATGTCACTTAGTTCTTTTGCTCAGTTTCACACTGTTTCATCATGTCCCCAATTTTCCGCTTATTCATTTGAGTTAACGACTTGCAAATTGAAGCATGCTGGTCAACGCGGGTATACACTTGGGAGTAACAAAATTATAAGTATGATTGACGAACCTGCAACTGCCGGTATTTATTTGTACCCTTTATACCTTGATGATGCAACCGACTATGATCCATAGAAATTGTTTACTGGGAAAGGAGTGCACGCGTTGTTTCTGCAAGGTTGTTTAATGTATACGTACGAAAGTGGGCACACACCACAGGCAACTCTTGGCCAATCTTCATGAGGTAATCACCAAGTTCTGGGTTTTGATGTGCGCTATGCCTTACTTGAATGTTTATGCTGCCGGTAATAATCACAAACGCGCACGTATGTTCTTTTGAATGCTAGATGAGCCAACCATAGGACTCTAGTTGCCTGCTCCAAACTACTGTACGTAAATGTCTCTGGGTCGGCTTAGGCTGTGAAAACATACTAAATGAATATGATGCATTCGGTCTTTTTAGTGAGTAAGACTCACTGATCGTACCCAGATATCTTCGCTGGAATTTCTTCCACGCTAGCAAAGCTTCGTTACCACACCGTCGGCTTTTAAACTCCTCTCACAGAGGAAGCACATAAATCATACAGAATAAATAGCGCTGGTGAATGAGACCTGTTGACAGATCTGGCTCAGCTTGTGTATGTAAACGTACCCGCGGTAAAGTTGGCTACTTGCCTGGAGAGCCAATTGAGTTTCGCAGTTTGCATTGGCTATTTCTGACTAATTTTAATACTTGCATATGGTGAGAGATAGCAACGGGTTAGTAGGATCAAAAACCCTTGTCTGCATTCTGCGAATAGATGGTACTCTTCGGTCACTTTCTTTAAGAGTTCTCAGCTCCGCGTTTACGCACCGGACTAAATTGCAATCTAACTGGGCATGCCCAAGTAGGTGGTAGAGCTATATGCGTGTAGAGTACCCCTAAGAGCTAACTAAGGTTGTTCACAGGCAGCATTAGTAGGCTCATGATACCTAACTTTCGTTCATACGGAGCCTACGTGCTGACAAAGAAGCCTGGTGGACTACTCAGCCTCAAGAAATAGAGGAGGCAGGAGCAGTAGACAATTACCGCAAGCTCTTCCAGCTGACCCGCACCACAGGTCCCAGGAAACCAAACGTCAGTGAGACAATCAGAGACAGCGCGGGTGCGCTGCTACACAATAAGGAACGCCGCATGGCTCGTTAGGTGGAACATTTGCAAAATCAGTTCAGCTGGCCACCTGCTCCCGGACCTCTTCCTATTCAAGTGATGCAGGACGAGCCATGGACGGTTGGTTTAGAGCCTCCGTCCGAGGTGGAGGTCCGCAACGTGATCACAGCCCTCAATCTTTTTCATGCCGCTGGCCCGGATTCCCTCCCACCTGCACTATTTAAGGATGAAGGTGAGGCCTTCTGCAAAGCACTGATCTCCCTATTTGAACGTATCTGGAAGGAAGTGTGCCGGCTAGTTGAAGCGAATCGATTATAGTGACAATCTACAAGAAGGACAGTCGCACAGACTGTTCTAACCACAGAGGTATCAGCCTAACACCAGTTGTGACAAAATTACTGGCCTCGATTCTCGTTCGTCACCTCACTGCGGAACGGGAATCTCGGATTAGGGAAGAGCAGGCCGGTTTCCGCCAAGGACGTGGTTGTATAGACCATATATTCACTGCGGTAGGTGCTAGAGCAGCGCCACGCATACCGCAGACCGACAATATCTGTGTTCCTTGATTTCAAGGGTGCGTTGGATACAGTCGTCCGATCGATTCTGTTCGAAATACTTGTGCGGAAAGGTGTTCCCACGAAATATGTGAACATCCTTCTTGCTCTGTACTCGAACACTACAGGCCGCGTCAGGGTCTACCGTGACCTTTGGGATAGCTTTCCGACCACAAGTGGCGTTCATCAGGCCTGTCCGATTTCTCCATTTTTGTACAATTTCGTTGTGCATTCTATCATGAAGGGTTCCCTTGCGGAATCTTACGATGTAAGCTATGAGGTTCTGTCTGGTGAAAGGTTAATTGATCTTGATTTTTCGGAGGATATCATCTTACTTTTAGACGATATTGCGGCGGCACATTCAACCCTGAATAGGCTGTCTATAGTGGTCCCATTATTTGGTATGCACTTCGCACCTTCAGAATACAAAGCATTGCTGCAGGAACACCAGCCACTGTATAACCCCTTGCCCCTTGCCAACGAGGAACTCAAGGTGGTCGATCAATTCACTTATCTTAGCAGCTGCATCAACAACGATGGGCGCATAGAAACTGAAGTCATTTCGCGCATTGTGAAGGCCAGAGCCGCCTTCTTGAACGTGCGGCATCTTTGGCGACGGAGGGGAGTTTCGATCCGTCTGAAAGGCCACAGTGAGGGCCGTCCCGCTCTATGGGAATGAGAGTTTGCCCCTTCGGTCTGAAGATTTGATGCGTCTTCAAGTCTTTGATCATCGTTGTCTTTGAAGAATTGCTGGAGTCGGATGACACCAGCGTGTCCGCAACGATGATGTGCTTAGGCGAGTACTAGGTAGTGATAATCTTACTATCCTCCTATGACAGCAAATAACATTGAGCAAGTTGCGTTGGCTTGGGCACTTGCTACGTATGCCTGGTTACGGCTTACCTACTAGGGCCTTACTTAGTCTACCAGGTTTAGGGTGGCGCAAATCTCGGGGTGGACAGAAGTTGACTTGGCAACTAGAAATGAAGACACTGACGACTAAACTGGGTGCCGTTGGTCCGCCTTGCCTTCCGGGCCGGGGTCCACGTGACTCGCCTTTTGCTTGTTTCCAGACTTTACAAGAGATGGCTCGCAACCACCAGTGGCGCGTCTGCTGCCCCTTCTTAATCGGGTTTCCTGTTTAAAGTGTGTTTGGGGCCGAGTAATCTACAGGGTAATGGCTGATTATGAGGCGGGGGCAGTGAAAGCCGCAAGGAAACTGTCTCTCTGATGCCGCGTTATCTTCGCATGATAGCGAGCTGTTTGTGACGGTATGTTGTCTACACAAGGTGTAGGCACCTTGACACTGAATGTTTGCCTAGGGCAATAAGGTTTTCAGGTACGTCCCCCTTCTCTCCCTCTTAGTCTTCTTTATTCCATAGGTCATGGTTGTATGGCAGCGAAGCATCAGTTAAATGGCTGATGTACTGTTATGTTAATGATGAGGATCATATGGATGACGGAATTCTGTTTACGATTAGCTGATTGTAGATGCTGTCTAGAGACTAAGTTGCTTGAAATGTGACACTAGTTGACAAGCGTGCGGCGGACGTTGCCCCTCAAAGTCAATGGGAACTATTGTTTCCAGTATTCCAAGCCATTCGCATTTAATGCATCCTGTCTTTAGTCCTTGCTTCTAACGACTGCGTTCTAAAGGAAGAGAAAGATGAATTGTTTCCAACCTACTGCTTAATGTTGGGACCAAGCTTTCCTAACATTTTAACATTGCCCAGAATGTTACACTTACTTGTGCCGGCACTTTTGATCTACCATTCGCCATAGTTCATTAGGAAACAGAGTTACACCAACTACCATCCGCCATTGGGATACATACATAGCACGATGATACTATGAAGAAGGCAATAAATGTAATGCATCTACTGGATGAGACTCGGGTAATGTGCAAACGCTAATGAGTAGGTTGATCTGTAGTACCCAGCTCTCCACCATTTGTCTTGCACCAGCGTTCAAAGTGCTGGTGCAGGTCTGGGCCGACATGCCATCATTGTCCACAATCCTGGAACAAGTCACAGAAATTGTCGATTAGTCTACTTATTTAGGCAGCCATACCGCCTTTGGTGATCTTATTACCATGGTGTTTACTACGCGGATTGCTAAGACCCATGGGTCTTTAGTCTCAAACATTTATAGTGATGAGGAGCCGTAAACCTATTAATCAAGGGAGAGGTTTATATCAGTGTGGTGTAACCAGTATGACTGTGTGTGCAACCATAAGTGATCGACGGTGTCCGATCATTAATGCTTGCATTGTGTTGCCTATATATAAAGAAAGAGTTGAAAGAGTAACACTGAAGTGTGTCTGCCAACGGATCATCTGTTGCCTTATTAGAGTGCCTGTTGAGCTTGTATCATTTTCAATGACTGACATACGTTCCACCTGCTCACATACTAACTCCATCGGTGTGTATGGTGCACTAATTGTACGCCTAGTTTAGCGGAACCTAGCGATGGTCAGGCAATGAGACATAGTAACAAAGGATGGAGAAATTCACGGTATGGCGGTTGCGGGTTGCTGTTTGTCATGTTCCTGGGTGAGAACCTTAAGGTCAACCACATCGGATACGGCACAGTCATTGTGTCAGTGACTATTATGTCCTCGTTTCCTTATTCCTGGCTCTTAGTCGTTTATAGAAATTTACCTGCAGCTGTGGGGACAGCTACACTGGGCACCTTTACCGAAGTCTAGGCTTCAGGATCAATGAGCACATCCCTAAACTGTTGCGCAAACGGATGGGATCTCATACGGTGGAACCAGTTGCATCCAGAGACAGGATAGCTTCAGCAAACACGAGGCATCTACTGATCACTGGCCACTAGGTCAACACAAATGACTCATTCACTGACATGCGTAACTAAAGGCCGCATATACTTAAGCTACTTGAAGCCATCGTAATCGATCGTGAACTGCCATCTCTGTGCGTACAAAAGTAGTTGACAATAACATTGAACCTGCCGTCGTAGTGCCGCAATAATACTTGGCCATCAGCTGACCACCAATCGACCGCACCCGATCTAGCTTGTTCTCAAATTGTTAGTTGCCTTGTACATAACTGAGGAGATAGGCACTAAATGACCGGGTCATCTCACAGCTTACCTTTTCTGATATTTCTATTCATATCTTGTTGGTATTCTCCATATCATTGTCCTTATTTCTGGAAAGCGCGTCTCACTTCGGTGCGCGGATCTTGGTCGTTAACTTTACTCCACTAGAATATTTACCTTTTACTGAGCCATCTCGTCAAACTAAGTCAATCGGCTCATAGTGCGTGCAGTATACTGAGAGATGAACATACTCATCGTTTCAAATTAGTTTGGGGAAATTTTTGCCATTTTTTCGCTTCTCTCATAGAAATTGTGTCTGTACATACTTCAGCGTTGTCCTGGGTTGAATGATATTCTGATAGAATCACACAACGACAAAGCACAAAGTGCATGTGTTTTTAGGGATCAATCCACATGTCCTTCAAATCGGCTGTGTTTCGTTCAAGAAGTAAAGACGAGTAACCGTCGCTAACTCTTATTTTCGCTTGTCTTAAATCTGTCCAAAAGTATCATGCTTGCTGCCATGAAAGTTGCGCTTCGGATGCTGCCTAGCATCCTAAGACGAAAGGCATGAAGATAGGTCGCCTAGTCTGAGGAACAACCCGACTTTGCGATCCACTGGTGCCTTCATACCCCATTTCCTTATACTTTTTCAGCTATTTTCAGTTTCATCTGATTTTCTAAATAATTTTGCAGATCTTCACTCTGCTTCGATGCCTGCAAAACTTGGAGTCACTAAACTTGAGTCAGAATCCCTTGGGGCTAGAAGCCTCTAACTGCACCACCATTTCGGAGGACTCGTCTCCCGATCCATACGGTGATTCAATCGATGCTGAGGTCGAAGAAAGCGAGTACACAAACCCCTCGGATTCTGTTGATATGGATGGCACTGTGACCTGTTGTCTCGCGCGCGGTAGTCCCATTCTACGGTTCGCCTCCCACGAAGTGGCAACGGGCCACAGGTCCCCTACTTTTGAAACCGCTATGAGCTGCGACCAAGAAAACAAATACATGCACTCTGACTTGATTGGAGCAACAGCATGCGCTTCAAAGGATTTAGCGCAGTTCAACGGTTCTTCGGAGTGGAATGGACCACCATTAGAAAAAGTTGGTTTAATCTCTTGACATCTTTTCCAATGGATTCGTACTTGTTTTACGTTATCTGGTCTTTAAACTATGTGACACTCCGAATCACTCTACTATGGTACGGCTGTCTCGTTAACTGCTAGGTATATATTCTCATTTGGATTAGAACTAATTCCAAGTGAACAACCTGCTGCTTTGGTTGCGCTCATGAATTAAAGCTTGATTAGGCATCTACCAGTCCTCTTACCTGATCCGAAATCCAAGTTTATGTGTTCTTGCCTTGCCGCAAAAAGAACCGCTTACCTCCGAGAATGGTAGATGTCTTTTGGCATATTATTAACGTTCGCTTACCGCTAAAATGTCTGTGCACTGTACCGGCGGTTCTAGAAGATAGGTTGAACCATACCCCGAATAACTGGGCATGATGCGCCATCTTGTCCTACTTATTCTCCAAGAGTTGGTTAGTGGCGTGTACTAGAAGTGTCCCGACGTCGTCGTCAGATAGACTCAAGAGAGAAACCATATAACTGAGCCGGGGTAAATCTGCTGGACTCTTCCACTGGAGAAAGTAGGCATAGTCGCCCACCTACGCGGGTTACGCTGATTAGCTCATGTTCCACACCGCACGTTTAATTGAGTTAAACTGGGGAAATCAGCTGTTCAGAAACATCGTTGACAAGCAATATACTTCAAGGCGTTCCGCAGGCGAAGCAACATGTCATAGATAATGGTTCTCTCTTACTGAATATACCAGTCGGCCTTGTAGGACCGATTTTGTTACTTGATTCCGACGACAGTGAAGTGGAATAGTGCTCGGTGAACTATGAACTATCCCTAACTAAATGTCTGCTTGGTGAACTCCATTTCTGACTTTTCTGACCGTGTAGAAGATTCCCAAATGTCCTATCCGCTGCTGCCTTCCTACCGTTCTTGCCTCACGGTTGTGCTCCCCTTTACCATCTACCCAAGTTTCTCGGTCCCAACCGATCTTTATTATCTGGCTCTCAATGGCGATTGTGTTCCGTGCCAAGGTAATTAAGTTCGTTTGCACTTTAAACAAATAGATGACCTGCATTCGACCGCGCATGCATTGGCCTATATTTCCAAGTTCTGGACAGACCTCATGTTATCCGTTTGTGATGTTCCGTTGTAACCCCCTCGCCGTGACATTCGGATACTGACGAGCAAGACATTCCTTACATCGCATGTGACCTGACGACCTTGCGAGATCATGTGAGTAGAGTTCACAGACATGAAACCACTTCGTCCGTGAGAACAATTGTAAGTGTTAATCCATGTGTAATTGAAATACTTGTACTACCATCACGGCGTGCGTAAGGCGCTGGCCAAACGTTTCACGGAAATCTCCCTTTCCGGTTGGTCGTGTGTAAACCTATTAAAGCCACAGTACATTGAGACGAGCTTATTTTACGTGAATTTGAAGCTCAGCTTGCTTCCCACCTTGGATTGTTGTCGTTGTTTGAAACGCCTGTGCCGGAAGCACAGATTGTTGAGGTATTGTGCATTGTTGTTTTTAATTATTTGTAATAGTACCGTATTCCAGTTCCGGTGTTGTTTTGTTGAAACCGGTGGAAACACGTTCACTCAAGACTTCCAAGCGAATTTCCGCTTACACGTCAGTTGAAGTCAACATTCAGCGCGCTACGAATTATGCACATACTCCTCTGTCATCCGCTTGCCTGGTCAACCCCTCTCTATCCAATTATTACTGCTTCATTTCAGTGTACGCCACCCATACGTTTGGCACTTGAAAACGGTGTGCTGAACATGAGTACAACCTTTCCAAGACTCACGGTTCTGGCTCTCAACTCAACTTTTGTCCCATGGAATTGGGTACTTGACCTTCTTCACCGATTTCCAAAGTAAGTCGCATTTTTACCTGCTATGTGCGACTATTTTTCGCGTTCCTTTTTATGAGGTTTGCCGTACACTGCCAGTGGTTGATATGGCTACAGCAGCCACCACTTAGCGAGATCAGTTTACTTGCACTAGTCATTTGTATTGTAAAAATTATCAGTTCATGAGCAACTTGATCTTCGCTGGGTGGACAGATGTCGTCGCAAATCGATCCAACGAATTACCATTTATGAGCTCAGCCTAATCCGCGGAAGCTGCGCATCCACTGCTCGAGTTAGCTCGTTAAACATGACCCTTCTGGGTTGTTACCCTTCGCTACCATGGCTACGGTACTCCGCAAATGCATGGTCACGGGGACTGTGGCTGCCCAATCCAATAAAAACCTGTTCGTTGTATTTGGCATTAACTAAGGCCAATAGCTTGATTTTCCTGTAGGTTAGAGCTGTCGCACACTTCATTCTCCCTCATGAACAAAACTGTTCATGGTTAATTTTTAATTACTGTTATAGGAGCTATGAAACGGAATTTATTCATTTTCCTCGCAAGTTGTCACAGTTTTACTTACTTAGACCCTTTGTATTGTTGCTTGTAACGATACCTCACCTGGTGAAGCGAGAATGCCAGCGTGTTGCTCCGATGAGTCACTCCTACCGATTTCACTTTGATCTTAGCTTCTGTGGCTATGCGTTGTTCACATTTGAACTTCAAGGTGAAAAAGTTTGGCTAACGGAAGTTTTCAGACCGACCTATTGTTCATGTGAGATGTATTGCCTTGTCTTCAACCCCCGATTATTAGCTAACTCTGCTATTCCACCCCCCACCCCCCCAATCCAGACCATCCGTGGCTATCCATAAGGATATTATGGGCTTCATGAGAAACTGGATCTACGGGGACAGGTCAAGTTTTACAGACTTACTTTTGTCACCCGCTGTCACGAGCTTCCGGTACCTTAAGTACTACAATGTAAACCGAAAAAGAACCTTTGCTTTTAATTTCGAAAAAAACGCGATTTTGCAACGAACACAGGATACTTACGTCTAAGAGGTACCTCACTTCGTATCAATTCGATATTTTGAACAAAACAATAAGAAGATGAGCACTGCGATGGATGGTACCAATTCGTCTTTATCTGCGGAAGCAGTTACGTGGGCAGAACAGATCGTTGTCTGAGTAAGCGGATTGGAGAGCACATTCCCAAGAGAATTGCTGGCCTGATGGCACAACAAGCAACCGGACAAGGAGCAGCAGACAAGCGGCCGGCATCATCCATCGCTAGACACCTAATCAATGCAGGTCCTCAAGTTGACTCTAGGTCAACTTTTACGGTTATCTACCGAAACGAAAACGCCAGCGTGCTGAAGTTTACCGAGGCTGTGGCCCTAAATCATTACCGTCCCACCCTTTGTGTGCAAAAGCCACTGACAGTAGCCCTTAAGCTTCCTTGGGGTTCATGACCTTTGCCCCAGCGCTACCAGCTATTGGTTTGTGTTTTTGTGCATATTTATGACCAATGCAAAGCGATCGTTTCTTTCCCTTACGTGATCTATATATGTTGTTAGTTTGCAAGTGATCCGATAACACGAAATGGTACCATCTTGCAGTGATCGTCTTCGTATTGTTTTGTTCAAACTGATACAGGGAACACGATGCGTTAACATTCGATACTTATTTGAAATACTTGCTCAGCGTAGGGAAAAGTAAGATGGATGGTTAAAAAATGCTTATACTGCAGAATCACTGCACTCAAATGTAACAATTTGGCCTGCGTTGAATCCTGCATCTAATACGTTTCATCCGACTGTGAGCTTGCCGTGAACTGGTTGAACCTGGAAGCGTCGAAAATTGATTGGCACACCCGAGAGAGAGAGAGAGAGAGAGAGAGAGGTAAAAGTGGATCCAAGACGAGCAGTTGAACTAAGCATTTTTGTCTAAACTACAAGCCCAGGCAACGCTACAACGTAATATGCATCTGAGGGAAGGAGACGAACTGTCGTGTGGCACACAGGCGGATCGGAACATTAAGGCCGAACCTCGGAGTCAGCCTGTATTGACAATACGAGCAAGGGAGAGCGGCAGGACGTTGAATTTTCACTAACTCATAGATGGGTGTCAGCTTTTCTGCTGTCGGATGTTATTGGTCTTTTGAGTACTGCACCCACTTATTTATACCAAGAATGTGAATATACGCTCTGATACAGTCTGATGGTCTCACCCTCCAGAATTACCACGAAAGTCATTAAATGGTTTCAACTTAGAGTGGACCACCAATACTCGGGGCGTAGGACGTAACCCGTTCTCTAACGGTAATGGTGGTTGTCAATGCAGCTGGTTAGCAAAATGCATGCCATGTTTCCATCACAAACATGCCTAAGTAGCTATGAGGGTCCTCGCCTTAGTAATGTCCGCAACTGTGTCTAGAAGGTGTTCCATACTGATGTGGGAGTCAGATTGGTACTTCTAGCGTTTGCTGTCAGTCCATGCTTGAAAAGGAAATACGCGGTCACTCCAGTGCAGTGGCTACTTATTTATTGAATTTGACGGTGATACGTATGATCTCCTCTTTGGTGTCCCGTACTCTGGATGCCCAGAGTCATCTTTCTTCAATTCACTAGCTGCAACGCGGCGCAATTCGCCTTCTCCATTTAAGTCAAACCACTGGAGTGCCGATCACCGGAAAATGACACAGTACAGTCGCCTCAGGTTCCTGAGTATGACACATGTTCTGAGCGTATGAATTCAGGCGTTTGTTGTCGGCCACCACGAAATGGCAACGGCGCAAAACTTCCTTAGCATTCCATGTCTGTAGCTGTCCTGCTAGTTCTACTCTTCTCATAAACTCACCCTTCGACATGAGTGGGCCGCATGCTTTACCCATCGTGGCCGGGAAGCTTCAGGTGATTTATAGCCGAATTCAAACGAATTCAGCGTGTTAAGTAATCATTGTGATACAGTTTATCGTTTTAGTCTGACTGATCACCGGCTAAAACTTGGAGCACTGCGATGGCTCGGGGCCACGTGCCTACACCGGTCATGTGCCAGCCTCAGCTTTTCTCTTTCCATCCATTCCGTAGAAATGTCGAACTGTTTGTTGTATATTTTTGTCGTTCTATTAGATGAAGCTCTAAGGATCACAGCACGTAGGGGTCTGCGATGATCTTACTACTCCCTTCTCCAGAAGAGTTACCTGTAAGTATTTTCTGGTTATCCAAACGCAGATTTGCTTTCCCATGGGGTTCAGCAGTGAAGGAGACAAGGGCAATGCTTCACATACCTCATTTGTTGTCGCTTCCCTACCGGCGTTTCTTTAACTTGACTTCTTCAGGTCCGTATTTTAGGCTTGCAAGCTATTCGCTTAGTTGAGGCTTCTTAATTCATTTCAAGTCGAACTACCCTAACCTGCCTGTGTTGCGTGACGGAGCATCATTGGTACATGTATGTGGATGTGAAGTTTATCATGTTCTCGATTCACGCACGAATATAACCACGTCGTTCTTTTCATCTGTCTGGTGTTTACTTGAATAACGGCACTGTTAATAGTGGGAAGCCTTCGTTCAATACAGAACTATCCTCGTTACATTTGTCTGCACCCTTAAGGTTCAGCTGGTAACAACAGCCACAACACTTGCGTGTTTCGGGTCAAGTGAGTCTCCAAGAATCAAAAGCAAAGTGTGGGCCGAGAACGGAATCTATTCCACGCAGCCTAAGGGCCATATTTTAATGTACTTTAGTTTGAATCAGCATTTTTTGTATTGCTTCTCCAGCGGTCATTGGGTTTCATGGGTCCGTTTGAGGCCATTGACGTGCGTACGGGTACATGCGAACGCTTGAAGTCATTAAAACACATTCGTCTATTCTGCGAGACATTATTACACTTCATATTGCTTTTTTGCTGCTATACCATCGTATCATATACACCACATTAGTGTGGAGTTGGAAAGAGGATAAATGAGTACCTTAAATAAAATCCAAGCGCCTTAAGAAAATACTTACCAATATCGTGCGCATGAATGTCGGGCGTTATCGGCATGGTGGCTCCCTCGCCACAATCAGTAAACTACAGTTAACCCAATGCTGCTGACGGCGGAGAACCCTCCAGTGGTGTCGGGTTTCGCCCAACAGTTTCTGTGCGACTGTGACGGCGCCTAGTGGTAATCGCTATTAGGTCCAGTGTACCCCTCACACTCGGTGGAGTGTTACAGCTAAAACTTCCATCAAAAGCAATCCATATACTACGAGCCTGCTAATTGCACGCGATAGCTAGCCTGCAGTAGTTGATGGTGCAGCAGGAGTCGATGTCATCTAACACGACTTCTCAAATGCAATTGCTCGCTTAGCCATCGAATTCTCTTTCACAAGCTTCGGAACTACGGCATTTGCGATCTAATACTGGGTTGGATAAACAATTCTCTATACCAACGTCGCTTGGATGTGAGAATCCAGGTATCTCTGTCCAATGCAATTGATATGGAGTGCGGTGTACCACAATGCTCGGTGCTTGGGCCTCGTCTATCCTTGATTTTTATACACGATCTAACAAGTGCAATTACTTCCGATTTACTATTTTTCGCTGATTAGATCAAGCTATGGCGAGTGATCAGAGAACCGGAAGATCACGAATGTCTCCAGTGCGATTTTAAGACGATTTCGAACTGGTCAGTTCGGAATTCCCTATCGTTTAACGTAGACAAATATCGCGTTGTTCAATTAAGCCCTGGACATTACTACACGTATTGACTTGGGACACAGATTGCAAACCAACGCCCAGGAAGGTGATCTGGTTGTTCTCTTGCAGAGTGACATTAACTGTTCAAACAGTCTGACGAAGCTGCGAAAAAATGCAACCAGCAGGTCAGCCTGCTGCGAAGAGCATTCGAGATATTTAACCCATCAATACTTACATGCGTCCCCACATCGAATATGTCATCGGAGCTTGGCAACCTTTGTTGAAGCGCGACCTGGAGATGCTGGAGGCAGCACAGCGTAGAGCAGCAGAGAATTTCAAGGGCTTACATAATCACTCTTACCAACCAAGGCTGAAGTTTCTGGGAGTTTTCAGCGGACGTTACCGAAGGTTGCGCGGCGATCTCATATAAGTGTGTCAAATATCGAGCGACTCCAATCACGTATACTGCCATTTGCTGAAACTTGGTCACAACACCAAGCTCAGAGGTAACTGTTTGCAACCTAGCGAACAATGCAGCCGTATGGAATGCCGACGGAATGATTTTTTCTAATTGGGTTTGCCAACTCTGGAACTCTCCCAAAATCTGTTCTATCCGTCCCCTACTTTGGGCATTTTCCAAAAATGATTGTATGTTGTTGTTAGCTCCCAGCACCTCGTTACCTAAACTGCGTAATTGTGGAGTACGGTAATCATGCCCTTCTACCGGATGTATGTGTCACATGGACCCAAGGAGGCGACGCAAAAATGAGCGACCATATTGTACTTTTCTCACGCCTTACGTCAGCCAGCACTGTATCAACGTGCTTCTTTGGGCTTGCATTCGATTTTATTTTACTCTATTTTTAGCAGCGCATTTATCTCGGTAGCCACTCGGTAAGATGACTCACATATATCTTGATCTATTTTATTCACCCCAACCACCCTAGGGGACGTGTCAAGCGCTTGCTTTTTAACCTGTGATAAAATCATTGTTCATTTCTCATTGTCACCCCTTCTTTTACAATGCCTTCCCATCGGCCTTTCAAGCAACAACTGCGAAGGTGTCGCAGTCTCGTAGTTGCTTTGTGCGAACTACAGGTGCCCACGTCCTTGCACATATATACCTAAAATTCGAGAACAATCCATCTGGTTTTACACTTTGTCTGTATGGAGTTCCTCCATCCAAATTTTCCATGAGACACATTATGGACATGTGCCAGGGAAAATAAACGTGTAAGCTTCTTAAAGTGATTAAAGTGTAAGTTTCCCTTAAGCTAAATATGAGATTACACAGAATAGACTGTGTATCCTTCCAGAATGCTGCTTGTACCATTGTCGAGTACAAGTGCCAGTCCTAACTCTACTTCAAGTCTCACTGTGAATGTTCTGATTTGCCGATTTTACGTACGAGCTTATAGGTCATCATCTAGCCTCATTACTCCCGCGCTCAGCTGCAGATGGCTGCTATGAGTCGGGTGCCTCCCAAGTAGAATAAAGAATACCACGATGTTTTATCTTTACCCATTGGATTGCGGTTTAATGGCATACGCGAGTCGGATGCTCTTGTCATTTAGCTCTGGCTTCCACTTCATCGCTACTTCTCAGTATAGTGGAAAACCCTAGCTTCAGACCACAGGTTCTACAAATTGCACCAGTAAACACATTTTGATGTCGTTATTTGCACATCAGCTGTGATGTACACAGCTCTGTGTTACGGTTTATCTTCTCCGTCCGTTTTAGCCTCGCGACTCTCCATGTGGCTCTGAACAATTATGGTGCGGAAGAGGATTGCCTCGAAGGGGCCGGGGACAACTTCGACGCTTGCTTGCATCTTCCAGTTTTTCCTCGACTGCGTACACTGTACTACAGTGATAATGGGATTTCGAATTGGTGGACCGTATGTCGCTTGGGTCGAAATTTTCCCAGTCTGGAACACCTAGTTCTACTGGGCAATCCTATCACCCATATTCCCGCTCCGCTTTCGACCGGTTCCACAGCACCAGCACTCTCCGCCAATCATAACGGAACGCGCACGGGGTGCAAATTGGTGGACAAACTGTCGGTGGAGCGCGAGTGGAACAATTGTGCGACGCGCCCCACCTCTGCCCGGACGAATTCTCGTGTGTTTGCCAATGTTCACACATTGGGCTTGTCCGAGACATTGATCGAACGCTGGGAGAGCATCGATTATTTGGGTGAATGGATGCCAGCACTTACCAATCTTCGCTTAGGCAACACTTTACCTGTCTTCCAGGTGAGAACACAACACGACAGTTGGACAATTTGACCACACAATGAGCCCAGAAACCTCTGATTTCGGATTTCGCATTATTCCAATTTTTCCCGTATATATGTGTACTTCAAGAGCATGTTTCTTATGGGAAGCGAATCGAATGTGTCCCTTCGAACGGTCCACACTGCACCTAATGAATTCACACACACGGAGGTCTCATTGTTAGACATTGGACAGTGCAAGACATATCCAATCCCTTGAGAGTGGGTTTGTGACCTAATGCGTTACTAGGTCATTTTGCCCTTTCCACAACTATTTCTAGGGATGATCGCTTTTGCACATCACCCACCGCCATTTCAGCAGTTTGAGGTTTCACTACTCAGTCGAAATAGAGTGTTTGCTTCATGCAGCCGGTACTAGCCTCCACAGCGGTGAACTGGCAACTCATCAATGGAATGGAATACGGACCGCAAGTGTCCTTGTTCACAGGCGTTTGAGTCCCCTTTTTCATTGTAATCTGGATGTCAGCAAGTCCTCTACTTTGTCAGAATAGTTTTCAGTGTTGTTCATTCTCAATGTTGAGCTCCACGATCGTTCTCACTTTTGATTGGGCACTTCAGGTAGAGATAGCTGGAGCTGGCATTTGGACCCAACACATTACGGTTGCTCACTTGAAAATGGGGTACCGCGCACAACATTTAACACAACGGTTAGCAGATCACTGCTGTCGCTCATAACCGAAAGGATTGCGTGCCCGCGCTTTAATCCAGAGGTCACTAGTTATAATCCGCGTATTTGCGGAGAACCGCGCGGTACACCTAGGCCTCGCGCGACTGTTAGTGGTCGCGGGGCAGCCAGGCGTCGTTACGGTGTGTCGGCGGATTGCTGATGTTTTCTTCTTCTTCTTCGCTACTGTTTCAGAGTACCCACCGTCTGCGTCTGGACTGCGACACGCTGTCTCATTTCGGACCATGGGTTACTTTGATGTAAACGATTGTCATTCCGATCACCGGGACTTCATACGAAATACAAACGTTTCGACTTAGCTTGCTCCAATCAGCAAATCACGCCAAGCTTTCATTGCTTAAAATGAAAGAAAAGAAAGGGATATATATATATATATATATATATATATATATATATATATATATATATATATATATATACCCGCCGGCACACCGTAACGATGCCCCATGCTGAGGCTGATGTCGCATTCATGATGCTTCTTCACCGCAGTTGGGCTAAACCAACTTACACTTAAACTAGGTCTTTTTAATGTGGATAAATTTCATTCCATTTTATTTGGTTTGTTCTGCGTACTTGCTAATCTTCTCCCAACTTGCACACGTCGCTCATGCAAATTGTGGTAAACTTGCGTAATTTTATCGCGTGGTATATTTTAAATAACTTTTGAACATTTTGTACTTATCGCGTATTCACATTTAACCACTTTCTTCCATATGCTCATTTAGCGAGTATTTATGTCGTCATATGCGTTTACTTTATTCGATATCGGCATTTCGAATGATTGGTTGTTGTTTGACATCCCAGATGTGGCTGCGCTTGATGTGCATGTTGACAAGGTGCCTACCTGTCTATTACCCACTACCTCGTCCATACTGGCTCCAGGAGACAGTTGGTCGTTGCTGGAGGGGACGGGGTGCACGGTCCTTGTGGTCGTGCTAAGCTCGAAGAGTGGTTCCATGCACTCAGTGTGGAGTGGACTACGGTCCAGCCACCGCCTTGTGTGCGCTTGATTCCCCATATACAGCGTGCTTGTGTTTGCCTGTGAAGGAGTGTGGGCCGGCTCCGTTGATGAAACGTGGCTCCCATCCGCATGTCTCCCGGTCTTATTCCTTCGGGTTTACACTGGATATGCGGTGTGTGGATGGAGCTGTGGGTGGTGCAGCGCAAGCCATCCATGGTCCCTCTGTAGGCGCAGGCGTTCTGTGGCTGGCCACAGTGACAGGCAAATCCGAAACCGGATGCCGTATATATATATATATATATATATATATATATATATATATATCCAACATCTGCCCAATAATCAATTAGCAGTGTGCCATGATACATGGTTAACCATCAAACGGGAGGGTTAAGTTGGTTCACGTGTCGTGTAAGCAGATGCTAGGGTTGAACCACCCTTGGTTTCTCATTCGATCTATACCGTCAAGAGGACTGCGTTTCCAGTTATTTCAAAGTGCTACTAATTACTACACTACTACTGACAAGCGCCGCTGGTTTCTGGTTGCACGATCCAGCCATTGTTTTTTATGTTTAAAGATCTGGCTGCTGAGTCTAGATGATAGTCAAACATATGCATTCTTGAATCTTGTCTTGACTTTACCAGATAGTTCCGCTCGAACTTTGATTCATTCCCCACTGATTTCAGAGATAGCATTTTGTGAACCCATTCAGGTCCATCTGACATGCGAACACAACCACTTCAGTACCTTAGTGAATGGCATTATCCGTAGAGGGGGCAGTGTCAGCTTAAACCATTATTTCAGTTGAGCAAAATGGCAGAGGGGACTCATGCCAACGGATGTGATATATCTGCAACATTTGGCACTGCGAACCTTCAGCTCACAAGGTGTAGGCCCATTTAGGCGTTGGCACAAACGCAGTATTCGTGTCTTTTCGTGCCTGGTAGAACGTTACATGTCACGGAGTAGCCCAAATTCTTATTCACCCTTAACGCTCCTCTAACCACGGCGTTCAGTGAACGCTCTCTTCCGTCATTCCTATCTAGAGCACGGCACCCACAGACTGTGACATCATATTCGCTTGTTACGAAGGTACAAGTCCCTCCATCTATTGGGGTTACAAGTTAGTATTATGAGAATATTCCCTCTCTCCATCTGCACCAACGTCTAACCACACTTTGTGACGTCAGCTTCAATGGATTATTGGATTCTAATCATGTGTGTTGTGTGAATGTTTACAAGAAAATCCGCGGTTCATGTTGAGCTAATTCTTTCTTAGCTTCATCATCTATTTTCATGACACATACACTTCTGTTCCTGCCTCCTGACTAATTCAAATTCAACACGAATAAAGCGTGAGATTGCCCGTCGTTCACTCCAGCGGTTTGTGACCCTATCAGGTCAACCGGAGTACTGCTCGGAAGAGTAAACTCCATTTACCTTCTCCTGCTGACGCCTGATGCCAACAGTGATGTCGTTCATTAACATAACGTCGAGAAATATACCATTTATTGTCTTTATTCAAGTGTGCGTGCTTCAAACTGTTGAATAGAGTCCTTTCGAAAAGACTTGGCTGAGAGTCCCACTGTCCATTCCGATGAACATACTTGGGAAGATTTGGTTCTTATTCTTGTGCAATTTGTGAGCACTCAATCGATACGTAAAAGTAACCTCCACTTCCACCATACTCCATAATTGCAATGAGAACCAGCAGATGGCAAAGCTTAAACCTTTTGTTGGACCACATACTTTGTCTGCCCACATGGTGTATCCATCCTGTATAGTTCCTCGGTCAGTCCACTCTAGCTTTGGGAAACAACAAGTGCGCTCGATTCTTGTCAACACTTGCCCCATTGAAACCATTCTACAACTGACTTCTCGTGCATGGAATGAAATTCCCCATCGCAGCAGCACTGCACCATAACACGATGTGGTGCTTTGCATACATCCACGATCCATAGGGCCAGTGGCGTAGCAGCTACTTTTGCCGCCCAGGGCGGCGGTAAAATTTTCGCCCTGGATGAGGGCAGAATATGTGTGTGAATGTTACCCAATAGGCTCAGGGTAAAGTGTATACTAGTTTTCGATTAAATGGATGATCGTTTTTGACACTGTGAATGTGGTGAAAGTGATCATAATGGGACAAATAAGGGGATTACTGAGAAGAACGTTTACATAGGTGTAACACGGCGCACAGGTGTTGTTGCTCATTCAGAGTAGCGTTAAAATGTTCAACCCTCAGCTTATCCGGATATGTAGCCCTTTACCTTTATATTGAACTATGGTAGCAAAAATCCCGCCCCCTCCGCGTCCCCCTATGCTTAGTCTCTGCATAGGGCTATGCTAGGCTCACTTTTCAAGCGCTTATAGATTGACCCTTTGCGGTAAATAATTAGAAACCAGACAATCTCAATCTTGTCCCCCTACTCATAAGCTTTGGCAAGATGGCTAGACACCCGCGAAACTCAGTGCCGGGAGAGAATAATGGACGAGTTATGAGCTTTGCTAGGTCGTCGTAGAACGCAAGCACGGGTTGTATCTCAGGATGGGAGAACACAGCTACTGACCACTGGTGTAATAATATTGATCGTATCTTGCCTAACAACCCGTGGTCAGTAACGTGCAAACACTAAAACTCTCGTGTAGTTAATCATGGTTGTAGGTGTATCAGTTACAGATAAGTTTAAATACTCCGAGGTTGCTTGTAGTAGGTCTCGGCCATATCTCTAGAATACTGCACACTCACTCTGTGTAGTTGGACTTGCTTCCCAAGACCTTTTGGATCGGTCTATCTAGTCAAATACTCCGAATGGAGTCTCCAAAGTGAAACTTCATCTGTTCCACTGCTTTCTGAGTGAAATCTGAGGCAAACTGCGCAGGTGGGCGCGCCATGAATCGGCAGTCAGAGTATAACGTCCACACATATAAATCTCTCAATCATACCTTCTCCCTCCCTTTGCCAACTAACTCCTGGTGTTTAGTGATAAAGATCGTCTCAACTATCATATCGTAAACCGATGGTACTATTTTCACCAAATTGTTCGAGGTCCGCACTCCCATCAGCTGGAGGAGAAAAGTTCATATATCCCACGTTTGGATAAAATGTTCGGTTTTTTGTTTAAGATAAGGATACCTCCGGATATCGCGGGTTTGAGCCTGCTTAGGGGACCGGGCGATCTTCAAGGTATCCTTAGTCCATGCGCGACTGTTGATGGTTGTGCGGCAACGAAGCATCGGTACAGTGTACCGGCCTACTGCTGGAGCCATTTTTCCTTATCTAAACCAGCTAGATGGATCAGTCAGGCTATTTCCTACCTACTGCTTCGTTGCGCGTAATGCGAACAGTGTGGCACCGCTATGACACCTCATCTACCACTTGGCTTGGATTCCACTGATAGTAACTACACATTTCGCTATCATGGGACTCTAATGTTTATAGCTCGCGTTGTCTCAGATTCGGAAGGCTTCCCAAACCAGTAAAGGTCCGGTTGTGTTAAGGGGTATTGTTTGATAGAGACACTCAGGACTAAACTCTACCCTTCCAGTTCAGTTTCATTAAGCTTGTGCCTTGGCAGACCAAATGACAAATAGTAATATAATAGCCGCCTTCCTTTTTCCTACATTTGTTGTGATAGCTTGCTTGTCATCGTGTACTCTGCCGCATCGTTGCTTTTATACCATTTAACTGACATTCACATGATCCTTGAACTTGAACTTGTGGCTTTTGAGGCGAGTTCTCGGCATCTTTGGGTGACGGGCAGTACCATTGTTCATCAACACATATCTTCGTCCCCATGTTGAGTATGCGGTTCAGGCCTGGCGCCCATGGTTAAAACGAGATATTCGTCCCTTGGAGCAACCCCAAAGAAGAGCTCCCAAGGCACTACGTGGACTATCCGGTCTCAGTTACGCAATGTACCTTCGTTTACTCGGCGTGTTCTCTTCAGAATACCGACGGCTTCGTGGGGATCTTGGCTTCACATACTTCATACTAACTGAAAACGAGCACCCATGTAAACCACTGCTAATTCTAACCTCTTACAAACAATCTTGAGGTGACGCAACACCCGTTTGGATTGCAGGAAGTATTTTTACTCGCTTATAATCTGTTCCCATCCGGATGCACTACAAACACATGTGATGAACTCACCAGACATCACGATATTCGAGCGACTTCTAGACTTTCTTCTCAGTGCTAAACGCTATACAACAGTGGGATAAAGTGCGGTGTCTTTGCTTCTGATGATTCACGTTCTTCATTGAAACATTGTTGATTAATTTTCTTGTGCATTTTCCATCCTGTGGATCTTGTAAAGTTATGCTTTTTATCCCATTGAACTATTAAAGTTGAACTGGCTTCAAAACTGACCACACGTGACGCGTGTCTTAGATGGCTGCGATATCACTCTTTAGTAGGTTAATTTTCTCTACAATTAGTTTTCTATGAGTTCCTTTGTTCTCTTAACACTTCCAAAGGCTCTCGGGTAGCCGGTTGATCTCGTGACCTTGGCCCCTAAGGGTCACCTCTCCTGGCTACTTGGCACGAGAAATAGACCTGAACTATCAAATGGTTTGTCTCACCCTGACTACGACCATGTATACCGACTTGTTAGTGACAGCGTTTTCATTCCCTACTCTCGTAGATGACCTGCACAAATAACCCAGTCCGTGTCGAGCCTAGTGTCTGGTCACGGTTACAACTTGAACACAAACCAGTCGATGTAAATATCTTTATTTGTCTAATTTATGTTCATCGCGACCCTAGCTATTCTTCAGCGTGTGCAACCGCATCTGCACTAAAATAGACTATTCGTTTTGCTTATAAGCTGTCACTACGAAGACAAGCTCGGATTAACCGAGATTGCTCTATCCCATTTCAAAAATGGTCGGTTCTTGCACTTGTGTTTTCGTGAAAACTTTGGTGCTGATTGTCGCTCTATGTGTACCTTTAAAATCCCTTTGATTTGCTTCCATCAGGGAGCGACTTCATTCCTAGTGGAGTTCTCAACCTAAATGTCATCCATCGTTCAAAAGTAAAACCTAAAATTATCTTTTTTATGCAGTCGTGGCCGGAATCCGATTGTCGAGCGCATGTCATCGCTCGATTACCAAAATTGACCACTTACAATCGCAGTGTCATCGACTCGGATGAGCGGGAAACGGCAGAGCGTGAGTTTGTCCGCTACTTTGGCCAGGTGGAGCCAGCTTCTCGACCCGCTAGGTAAGTGACCGAATTAAAACACCTTGCTATTGCTCCGCTGTGCATTTAGCTGTGTGCGCCCCCACTACGAATTACAGGGGTTTTAAATTGAAAGTGAATTCACCGAGGTTCCTTAATGTACTCGCTGTTTCTCAACTGTTCGTTGGTTGTGAGGTTCACAGTACCCATTTTTAGACGGGTGTTGACCGTCTAAATCAAACAAGTGGTCTCAGCCTGCCCCAGCCACTGTGCTATGTCTGCACTCACAGGCTTAGCAACTTTATCATCCGCTATTAAACCGGTTAGAATAGCTGGGAGAATCGGTCGTACTGTGATCCGTAGCGTAATTACGTCACGGAATGGGGTGCACTTTTCACTGGATCTGCGAATCAGAGTGAGGTCCTTCTACAAATTATGACCCCAGCCCTGTCACTAGTCGACCTACTTTCACCTTTGCCAATCACCCTGTTTTCTATCCTCACCAAAATTATCGGTTGAATTCGCTTCATTAGGCAAACGCACGTGTCCCTTGTTTTTCTATAGCCTGCTGCTTCCAATGTGCGCAGTCCGTCACCATTGCATCACACGATGTCGGATCTTAAGGCCAACCTTGTTTCCGGCCTTCGGTTCGATGTTTACACACGCTGTAGTCAGCTGATAGTAGACGACCTTGGTGTGGTCACGAGGTCCGCCTCACGATTGCACTAAATACCGGCTTACTTGCGCTTTAGCAAACCGCGCTTGTTTCGTTCTTGCCTTACCGCGTGATGCACACGTCAGCCCGCCGTTCAAATGGTGGCATGTCGTCCAGATTTGTACATTCAATCAACTGTTCGGAATGGCCAGTTGTTCTTAATTCGCGTCCTACCTGTTTTGACTAATGACCCATCTCAGGCTCTTAAAGCCATATTTCCAACCTCATGGTTAGTGGTGTGTGTTACAGTAACACTGCTACTGAATACCCAGAAACATCAAGGGGCCTTCGGGCTGCATTGTGCCATGGTTGGTAATTACGTTTCTTTCCGCTGAGAAAGACTTAAATTGAGAACAGATCCTCTTTGCATTTCCAAATAAAATTATGCCGCTAGCCATGGATTCGGATGAGGATATTGCGCGTAATACTCAGACACCATAAATAATAACTAGATAAACTAATGTATCAGCTGTACGCCGTAACGGCGTTTCACTGACGCGCAACCACCACCAGTTGCGCTTGGGCTGATTATACCACGAGGACGCCCACCCCTACGTGGATTCGAACCGGTGACTTTATGGTTGCAAACCAGGCGGGCAGAACACTCGACCACCGGCCGACATGGTAGTACCTACCTGATCGTGGCGTGAGAGGCTAGCTACAACAAATGTCCCCATACCTAGGCACACTGCTCACGCAAGGACCGAATGAATCGCTTATAAGATCTGTCTAACGACAGACCAGTACATTCATTTTAAGAACTCGCTGATACAGCACAAATGCCCTTCCACTATAACATTGTGCCATCGTGCCCCATAGTTTGCACTCCAGGTAAATTAGCGGCAGAGATAAGTGCTGTTCGACACGCTGCCATTCAACGGTTATTCGTAGTAATTTATAAAGCACCTCATTGGGAAGACTAATTGAGATCGGACGACAGTTGTTTTAACAAGCTTTTCTTATGAGTCATTGCTCAAACATGGTTGTATCCTGAAATTCACCGCGAATCGTATAAGCCTTTAGCGAAGAGACGATGTAGCAAAACGACGGTTGCGCCTATTAATGAAACTACTGCTTATGTGTCCAGTGGAGACACCGACATCGAGGCAATATACGTCCAACTGTCCATACAAATTCCACTGTAGCGTGGAGTTGGTTACGTTGGACTCACTGATTAACGTCTGGATATTCGAAACTAGGAACGCACCCCAAATCGGCTATCCGAATCGATGGGGCCCTTGACGCTTGAACTGCTACATTGAGAAACGGAGCTGTGTTTGTACTCATGTGTTTACCGACCACCTGTCACCAGACCAACTCTGATGCCCTATTCCCGGTCCTCACAAACACAATCAACAGCCTCACATTCTTAAGCTCCCTGAAGCCATTGTTATCGATCCAGAGCCCATGCAGCTCAGGATGCAAGAACAGCGGGCTGTGACTGAGCTGACCATGTCATCAAGAAGCTCACCATTGGGCAACCGATTGGTCACCAGTTGTCCTCACGTGACCTTGCCCCTCTTGAAACCATAATTGGCTACATGTATGTGTTGAATAGAACACAAGTCTTTTTGTACTCCTAGTTAAGACCTGAACTGACGTTTAGTTTTCTGTCATTTACTTACCTTACCTTCATTAACCTTGTTGGCCTTTATCTGCCTTCCTCTCGGACTTTGTGACCGTTCCCGCTTTTTCTAGTCGCCAGCCACCAAACGTGTTTCCTCATAGTTGTGGCCCATTTTTGACTTTGCGATCGTGTCCCCTATTTTGTTCCTGTCCACAGACCGCAGTAAAGGGTAATGTTGGGATCCTTATCCGGGGAACGATGCTGATGCCGTTTAGGTCGGCTGGTGACCTTTAAATCTATAGAATCTTGTACTTGTAGCGGTTTCTGATGGTAGTCACACGCCTGGTTGTGTGCGATGACTATCAATGTCTCATTTATGAATCGACTTTCCTAGTCTCAGGGTATGCTTTTCAAGGTGTATTACTTGTCGCGTTTAAGTATTTCGCTGGTTGGGAATGGGGTGTTGCCAGCCGGAAAATACTCCACTCCACTACGCGTTTCGACCTTGTTTGATATCATGTCAGATAGAAATTGCAGACCTCGAACGCGGGACCATTGGGATTTTGGCGTCTGTACCCATTTAACCACTAGGTACCGACTGGCAATACTTGGCACAGCATTTACTGACTGATTGGATGGCTATTTTAAAGTATAGTAATACTAATGTGTCAGCTGTACGCCGCAACGGCGCTTCGTTGACGTGCGACCCCCACCAGTCGCACGCGGGCTGAGTATATCGCGAGGATTCTCACCCCGCGCACTCGAACCCGCGCCGCAAGATTACAAGACAAGCTGGTTACCTCTAGGTTACGGGCAGGTGTGCGATGGGATTGCGATGCGCAACACCCTATTTACATTCGCTGGTTGCTTTTGTTTACTGCAACTTGGATGAGTGTATCACCGTTCCTTTTCCTACTGCGCCTACACCCTTCCAGATACTGGGAATTAGAACGGACCCACGGTCGTTTGGAACCACTGGCCGATATTGATTTGTCTCCAAAACGCTTTGTTCGCGTCCGTGTTGTCTTAGACGGAAAAGAAGTGAGTTTCTGAAGCTGTTGGAGAAATTCCCTGTATTTCAGAACCTTGTACAATCATTCGAATATCGCCCTCTGTTGCTTTTGTTTGTTATCGGAGTCCGATTCGCTCTTAGCCTGTTTTCTACCATTCTGCATCTTTTACGTGTCGCCGCCGACCGTTCGCAATCCACGACCGCAAAGCGGATACAAAGATGAGCCAGGATCGAGAATTCTAAATAGTGTACAATAGTGGATGAAGCAAAGCTACTGAAACACGTTGAAGCCTACCAGCAACATGGAAGACACAGAATAATACGGGCGAATGAGAAGTAGCAAACGAAAGAACCAATCCGGCGAGTTCGAGGAAACGGTATTAGCGGAAATTGGCCCCTGAGATGAGATACATTACAAACGACGTAGGCCGGCCAATCAAAGCGAAGGAATGGTGCGTTTAGACAAATGTCAAGAAACCAACGGTGGCGAATTTAAGCAGCCGACTAAGAATTGTAACATAAAATATATGTCCAGTGAGCATCTCCTAACCTCACTTTAATATGAGCACACACTAAAGGACGCTAGAGAATGAGTTCATAGAGGTTTGAGAACAATCGTTTCGTTTTGACACTAAATCTTCAGCAGTCCTGATGATTCGGTGCACCACTAGAAGGGCGTTTTATAACGAACTATGATGATAATTGTCGCAATTATTCTCACGAGAACATGGGCATACGTCAAAATTTGTTATTACAATCACACGTCGGGATGTCATTTCAAGGGTGTTCACTCACAGCCGGAATAGTCCATGTGTCCATTCATTCATAACTGCACTGAGAGATACGCGCTTGTTGGCAACGAGGATGAGTCGATTTTCGCTTTCCATATTCAAACAAATTTCAGAGAACAAAAGAGGTATTTCACGACCATCAAAGAACGAGTTTGAACAGCGGGCACTATTGAAAGACTCGACTGTGGCTGTGCATGCATTTTACACAGATTACCAAATTGACTTAGATAATGTAGAAATCATTCGGAGGGATATACGAGCACCTCCTCAACGATCGATTGCCGAGGCGGCGGAACTCTCCAAAGCCGACAGCTGCGTGAACAGGATGTAGGGGGTGCGTGGCGAGAGATCTTAATCCAGCCAGTCCGACGAGCTTCGATTCGCCGATCTGGTTAGAAGGCGACTGTAAGCGACTGTACTAATACCCTGACGCATGTCCTTGTTCTCGCGATTATCGTCCTAGTTCGCTATGAAACGCGGCTGCAGTGGTATACGAATTCACCCGACCTGACTAATCTTTTGCGTCAAAAGCGAAAAGTTGCCCAACCAATACACCAACGGATTGCTTCCAAAGCCCTCTGAACCCAGGACTTATCGATCTGTTCCAAGTATTGTACAAGATTTTGGATATTAGGGAATATTATTGCGCGGACACTCCCACTAGTGTAGTGCACTTGTGTGACTCTTTATGTGAATATCTGCCATTGGTCGGCAGTTCTTTTCGGACCTCTGCAACCCAGCCAGTTGGATCAAACAGAATCATCGTCAAACTAAATCTGGGGAAATCATTAACGACCAAGAGTTTGTGGACTCCGACAAGTTCCTTCAGGCTACACTGAAGGAATAGGACAAAAGCGTAAATCTTGCCTCGTGATAGCAGGTGGGAATGACACCAACTGTAAGAGCACTTGAGTCTTAGTCGCCTTTCATCGACCTCCATATTTTCCCATGTCATCCACAAATCGTCTTGTCACAAGCCGTCAGCGCAAAGCATTGCTAAGGCCGAGAAGTGCCATTATTTTATCTCAAGGTGACTGAATCGTATCTTACCTTTACAGTTCGTCTTGTACCGCTACCCATCGAGCTTCATCGAGGGATGGCTTATGAGCGTTTCGTCGTTCGGCTCCAGTAAGTGAAAGTGTTGTCAGTTCCTGTTTGTTCACTCACGATAAGACACGCTATCGTCGAGAGAGAAAGAGACATCAGCAGTATGCTGGTACACAGTACCAACGCTTCGCTGCAGCGCAACCACTAACAGTCGCACGCGGTCTAAGAATAAAGCTAGGTTCGGCCGGTCCCTACGCAGGCTCGAACCGGCGTCCTCGGATTACAAAGCAGATGTGTGTTCCTTAAGACTACGGGTCCCACACTATCACCGAGCTCCCGTCATTGTCTTTAGATGCTTACCTTTGGCCACTGGATGGGCATCAGCGAGGGGGGGCGGGGATTGAGACGTTCAAAGGCTGGATCCTGCTGTCGCTTTGTACTCACCACGCATAGCACCTTCTTGCTAACATCTTGCGCATATTCCTTACTGAAATAAAATGCAACTAAGTCGAATTTACACGAGCGCCGTTGACTCGAAGAGTCTCTAAAGGGTGATGTGCTACTTTCCACAGTATTGACTTTTGCCGCCCCGCGCCGTTGTTTCATCCACCAACGTACTAGGCTAATCCAAAACATTCCTTCACTGAACTACACTTAGTTAGTGAGTAAATACCTAATCGCCCCACCTTTCACATTCCCATCTATTCACTATTTTGTAGTCCTAAGTGGCACAGACGAATAGCCTCGGACCTACAGTTCCTGATGAATCGTCAGTAAGGTTTAGTTTCACTCTGCTGCATCGTCTAGTCACTTCAACCTTTCTAGTCCGCAACTTAAGATGCAAAACGCTTAATCGCGAGACCGGTTGCTCGTTTGTGGTTGCATGGATGTGCAAGGTGTGCGTCCATTGAGATATCATCCCAATCTAGGTACTGGCCTAGTATCGGTTCACTGTGTCCACTGACTTGCGCCATCTGCAGCGGATGACCGTGTAGTTGACCCGGATTAAAGGCAGCATTGCATGTTCTAGGCTTTTGGTTGGCAGAACGGAAATGCTTGCACGGAAAAGCGCATGGAAACGCCTAATACTTGCCAATGCGGCCTCTTATATGATGCTCCGACTTCAACGAAGCACACAATTTGGTGTTTCTTCCCTCCCCGACATCCGAATGAAGGTTACAAGCAGGCCGCAGAATTCATTTTTGGCCTCCAGGCTACAATCGATGGGAACGCACGATAAGATAGGAGAGCGCTCGGTTGCATCATTTATTTATGAACCTTCTTTATCTCCAAGCTTATAGCATACGCATGGGACCATTCATGAATACAACCAGAAAATCTTCAGCATGTGTGACGTAGTTCCTAGACCATGTACACCTCTGTTGTTCATCGGTATATCGTTGGAGATGCCAAAAGCCTAATAACCTTCAGTAAAATTTAGTTACCCGTGGTTCATTTCAATACTGCTTACGATAACATACCAAGTCAAGGTGACCATCGCATTGTATATTAACATGGTATGATCATCGGAGGAATGGATTCCATATTATGGTTTAGTGTTCCGTTCGCACCATACAATGTCACCATAAACAATGACAGTAGCTCTTAACGTCGCCCTACCTTGGTCACTGACTTCACGCTGAGCCACTACGGTTTCGATTCTACCTAGCGCACTATGTAGTACACATACATTACCTACTCTCTAGAGTCGCATGTCAAAACAGCGATAGCTTTAGGGAATACAGACGCTTGATTCACAAAGATCATTATTGTTTGGGTTTTGTTGGCAGATATATGCTGAGATCTGGGCATTTTTCACCGCCAAGTGCAGAGTATTGGCAGCGTCGCTCCCATCGACGAATCATTCTCTGCGCTTCAAAATGGGTTGAACAAACTTGCACGGTGGTCATCTCCCTGACCCGTTGTCCTCAACGCTTCAGAGTTTCGAGACCTAAGATTTTCGACACGCTGACAAACGTCAAACCTTGCCAAGTGCTTCGAGGCCCATTGTTGTGAACGAATGCATTATACCTAAAGCACTCACTGTTAGGTTTCTTGGTGTATTTTTCTCCAGAAATTTAATATGGTCTACACACATCAATGAAACTCTTCGCAAGATAAGGGGACTATCACTTTATGCGCTGTTGCTCAAGAGGCTTTCTGTACCATGCTATTCGTAGCTACCTGTATTCTCCCTCATTAGTTGCACTGCTCGCATGTTATTTTCCCTAGACTTCTTCAGAAAGATTGTACAGTTCTTAGCCGTTCGAGTAAGGTCATCACTAAATGCAGTGGATTACCACGAAAGTCTCTTGTAGACTTCATTGTTACCAAGCATTTTAATGCATGTCACAGATTTTCTTCACATATTATAAATGATCCATGTCAACCGCTGCACGACGAGTTATGGAACTCACGTTTCTTCTTATCAACAGACTCAAAATTTAGGTTCTATATTCTCACACCGCTTCTTATCAACTCTGTTTTGCCTTAGTTTTCACGTCTTCTAGATAACTAGGAAGATCATTTATTCTACGTGTAAACGTTTACTTTAGTAAATATATATATATTTTGTTTTTTTCTTGACCGTTTGTCTGTCTTTCTATGTAGTTTTGTACCCAATAATTTATTCGCAGTTCTAGTGTAAAAATTACTGCAAATATGATCAGTCGAATGCATAAAGCTTATCTCAACTGAACTTGACTTCGGAACAACTGGAGACTCAAGCGCGTGATCCAAGTTATTGGCATTAACTAAGTTCCCCCGGGCATCTTTCTGCTGCTCTGACACCACTCTCCTCAGTTGTGGTTGCCGTCCAACTTGGGGCTTCCAGCTGGCCATGCGCGAACGGAAATGAAGTTAGTAGCATCGATTGGCAGCCGGGCGATTGCCGTAGTCAGCAGCTAGGCTGACTGTATAGCGTGCTTTGCAGGTGACACTCGCTAGTAATTAGCAGGATTCCGTTTGTCACCTGGCACCTCCGTTTACCATGCGCGCATTTATCGCAGAAACATTGTGCACCTCCCCAACCTGAATCCAAACGGCGTAATAGGACTAGACTGAAGCAATTAGACAAATGTGAGAAATGGGTGGAGGTGCTACCCCTGGTGACTTGCTCATTTCTCCGTCTGTTTCATCCCTGGGAAGGCAGAAAATCTGAAGTTGGCACAATACCGTCCACTGCACGCTGTCACCGGTATCCAGACGCGGAATCGCCACTGAACAGAAATACATGCGGGATTAGTTCTATTACCATTTAGCCTCGACGGTCTTGTGCACTGAGCTATGTCCGATATCGTGGTCGCCACAACTTGGTGTGGCACCGTGTGAATTCCGTGTCCGGTAAAACATATTGTCCAGAATCTTCGCTCGTGTTATCGATCACACTTCTCTAAAACCAACGGGGAGAGGAAAACAGTCTGCTCTGTCTTAACAGATTGGATGCACTCTCCTGACCCCATGCAGACACCCGCGCCATGTTTGTTAGTTAACATTGAACCAGCTCTCATTAGATCATTTCACATGCCTTCTGCAAATAGCAGAATTGGATTCGTGTGCCCCACGGTCACAAGGCACATTTGCTGAAACTATGACACACATGTTGGTGGTAGGATGTCACTTTTCTCATGGGATTCAAAGGTGCAGTCAGCTCAGTAGGCTGTTGTGTGCTCCAGCTCTTCTGTCCAGTAACACCATTGATCATGTAGCACTTCCTTCTGGATCCTAGTTAATGGGACCGGCGGCAGCCATCGGGATGAGGGTTAGCAGCCGTCGGATGATTTAATTACATCTAGTCGGCACGTTTACTATCAATCCACTTCTTGTTTTGCACTGCAGCCACAAGGGACGATCTTGAATTGTTATTAGCGATTGCTCGATGTATCTATCCAGCTCTCCAGGCAGTCATATCGATAAATGCGGCGATTGACATTAGGTCATTGTCAGGATGATTTGAGTGAATCTTCCCACCTCAGGATACGTGCCATCAAATGCACTGTGATGGCTTCAGCCTCGCTTCGCCCTGATGGCTTCAGAGAAGTGTTAACCATCGGAGATTTCTTTTTGAACCTCTTAGTCATATCCGAGGCGACAGACTGCACTCCGATTCGCGGACTAACAACAGCAGGCTTGACAGGTGAACTTGTTCACACACTCACTGTTGTCGTCCATTGTTCAATTAATTCAGTTTTATGTTCCCCGTTGAGGTCGGACTCAGAGGAGTAACATGAGCCGACCTACCATGTCTCGTTTCGACTTCATCACCGTCGCCAGTAAAGTTTACGGTTATCAATCTTTAAATGATCTATTTAACTGCTTATCTGTAAAAAAAAGGATTTCGTCATGAGTGCACTACGACGATGGGATGACTAATTCACTTTGCCATCCGACCTTTACGAGCTACCCTGTTCTCTACGCCCCGGTGTTCAACCTCATTCCGTTAAAAATACCTTCCCAACTTCACGAATTTTAGCTGCGCCACGCCAAAGGATCGATGCAGTATACCGGTGTCTTGCTAAACATGACGTCAGTAACCGCGTTTAACGTTGGGTTTGCGCATTAAAATTACCGGTCACGTGGCCGTTACTATCTGATTGTCTATCATGTGACTCCTAGTGGTTAGTGCACCCCAGTAATCTGTGATTGGCGGTTGTTGTGTTCATTCTGACTACCAAGGCCGCGCTAATCCAGATACGTTGAACGCTTTTCTCTTGGAATTCGGCTCATCTAGTTCTACTCATAAGTAATGAAACCATTCACCCTCACTGTATTCAAATGTTATGCGGTCATAGGTACTGTGTAGCGGAAGTCTAGCCTCGCAGGCCAGCCACTGTCCTCTGCAATGGTAGGAATCTGCATGACAGTGGTGAATAGGTTGCTCTACATACTAGTTAGCTTTTAAGTTCACCAAATCTGCATCCGTCCCCATGGATCAGGGGCATGCTCCCCTAAGCTGCTAGCGGCCATGGATTGGATCCTCAGAAGGGACCGAAAGAATGCACACCACTGACGAGCCCCAATAATGCGAAACGATCGTCTGATGCTTTTCTGCGTTGGGGTTTGAGTAAGCTGGCCTGTGCGCAACTGGAATTAACTAATAAAATTTCATCCAGTTCTTGCTGTTCATGGAGAACTCCCGTTTTCCGTTTATTAGCATTAATTTTAAGCAAACTGTGTATCCCATAAACGAGCATAGCCATCGCCTGCACTCGCTTCATTACACTAAGTTCACATTTCTACAAATTCATTTTGCGGAGACGGCTGTCCGAGGTGCCCATTTGAGATGTAATTGGCTGATTGCAGAAATTCTGGGGTAGCAGCTGATGGCATTCGAATCCTGATCCAAATGCTCTAGTGTCCACCAAAATATTGTCTCAGGTCCACTTTTAGTGCGTCTGAAGGCCTAAGCATCACTTTTCCCTTACTCGGACTCAGCGATGTTGATAAAAACGGACGGCTTCAATTTTGGCTTCGCCGCACTGTTTCACAAAACATGTCGCTAGCAGAAGACTATGCCTGCACCGTGTCTCAGTTGTTTGTTCATTTAACCTACCGTTTTTACATTATTAGACCGCTGGAATCTGTTGGGATTATCATTACTATCCGGCCTTCCCTTTCCCATTTTCTTCTTCATATGCAGACTGTACATGATTTAAATTTGAGCCTCAAAGTTTCTCAGGCCAAGCGCCAGTTCCTACAACTGTTCGACGTCAACCCGGCAGAATCAAAGCGCTATAAATTATTTTACTTCGATCAAGTGATGACGCAAATTCAAGGTCCGGAGGAGCTCAAATTTCCATCGCGCGCTATGCACTCTTACCAGCTCGAAACGGGCGACTTGTTCGAGCTGCTGAGAATTCCGGATCGTCACAAACCCTGCCGATCGGGATAGATCACGTTGGCTTTATCAACCACCATCCATGTGTTATATGCTCGTGATTTTTATCCCAGGCACTTAAATGTCTGTGTTGGCGTTTTCTCAACTTCACCTTACTGTGTTGTTCCGTGTACCAGTCACGCCAACTTCGCGCAAATCCTTGTAAATGCTAACCATCCGTATCACACTGTTTCCACAAGCACACTACACACATGACCCGAATTGCGGCAATCCGACAAGTGTATTTTCATGTTGGTTATAGCCAATCGTCTCCTCACTCTTGTGTGTTACCTGTGCATGGGTGTGTCTGTGTTGACATACGCCCATCCACCTTCCAGCACAGTCAACGCACGTTTTCCTTTCATAACCGATTTGTTTTCACTGCCTCGTTGTTTTGTATCCTCCTTTGTTTTTCATTGTTCTTCTTTCTCTATATTTTGTTTTTTAATCTATGACCTGTTGTTGCGCCGTGCGTCATTTAGACGGTTCTTTCCTGCAAACTCACTGCACACGTTCCGTTTGTTTTTAACCCTTCCATCCACCCATTCTCACTGCACCATGAAAGCGAAGTTCAAGTGATCCCGTGAATATCGTACTCTCTTTTTCTCTCTCCTGTATACACATACCTTATACTGTTTAGTCCTGCAAACCAGAAATACAAACGCAGTCCACGGTCGCTAAGCCTAAGCCCCTGCCTGCGGTTGTGCCTGGTACATCTCGTTTCTTAGTTTGTTCGAGTTTTATCGCTACTACGTCATCACCTCGTCTACTTCCACCCACTATGATAGTGAGACCAACGCGATGAGTAAGAACACGATTCATTACATGAGAAAGTTGCCCCTTTCTTGGAGCAAAAGAGCGAACGAACATGCAGCTGTTGCAACCGACCTGAGCAGTGAACACAGTCGATTGAGCAAAGCCAATGAAAAGTGACCAGGTCAGACACCAACCAGCTACGGCTAATGATTGGCCAGCGTTAAAGGGGCGGGGGGAGGTGGGGGGGAATGCGATCCGTCTCCAGAACCTATGACTACCTATGGCTACCAAAGTGGCGTGTTACAAAAATATCCACAAACAAATGTAACATGATGAAAGACCGCAGTTACCAATCTCTGCATAAGCTTGCCTGTATTTAGAGTTTTACTAACGACTGACCTGTCGATGATCATTTTGACCTGTATCAGTCCACCGATTGCTCTCGTCTGGTCATATGATCCACGCTGTGATTGTCCCTCTTATCCCCAGACGCAAAGCATAGGTGTCAACTGGTTTACTTCACTTTGAGCCAACACTCAATGAACGCCCAAGTTAGGCGATTTGCTTGAGCGTGACAATCATTTGAGTACTTTTATCCAACCGAACTGGGGTCGATTGATTTATCGTCGTCACTGATGTGCTCTGGCTCAGTGGTCCCCAACCTTTTTATCGCCGCGGGCCGGTCAACGTGTGTTATTGTTAACGCGGCCCGCTGAGGGGGACGTTGCTTGGTTATATTTTTAGCTTGTTTTGATGTAATAAGTTTAATGTAACTGAATTTAAGCATGTTTTAAATATCAAATCCGGCTACACAAAAAATGAATGTAAAGTGATTTAACATATTAACTCATGACAACGGTAAATCAATGAGAACTCTGAGCTTGTTTCTCTGCAACAAGACTGTTCCATCTGGGGGTAATAGAAGATAATGAAACCGAAGTGGGTTGCTTATGTCCACTTTGTTCCGTTGTTTTGTTTTCGTTGCTGTCACTGCATAAAACTCCGCTTATACAGCTAAGGTGTCGGAAATGGTAATAGGGATTTAAGTGCTGTGGTGCCAATCTGAGGGTAATCCGTCGTGCCTTTAATACAGAACACCGACAGAGTAGTTGTCTCGATGATAGTTTTCAGACCGCCGTCATTTTGCAATCTCCAACAGCTCATCTGCTTTCACAGACATGCTAGATTTGTCTGACTTGTTAACAAACGGGTCGCGGATCCATTCCTTAGCAGTTCTTTGGCCTTTTGTGATTGGAAAGTAGCGCTCGAACTCTTGTAAAAGCAAAGACACGTGTCCGTATACTAACCGAGCGAATGAATACTCAGGGTCAGTCTCGTCTAAGATGCATGCTAATGCTTGAAACATGTCCAAAATGCCTCCGTACACGCGGGCCCCAAAACTCCAGTTTGGCTTTAATGCAGCTACTTTGTCTGGCAACTTGAAAACAGTTTTAATTTTTCCCTGAAGGGATAGATAGGTTCACTGAGCAGGCTGAATATGTTACACAGGTAAGACAGTTTTGCGACCTATAGCTTGTCACCTAAACGTGTTGCCAGCAGAGGCTTCTTTTCTGAGGGCAATGTTTGCAATGGATCACATAATTCAAATACTCTGGTTAGCGATTTTTCTGGATAACCATCTTATTTCTGTGTACAAGTGAAGGCATCCATGCTCTGCGTCCATCTCCTCACAAAGCCGCTCAAACAGGCGAGTTAAGAGCGATGTAGATGCTAATGCTGTTTGATAGCTATATACACGCTTCCAACGACATCAGAGTCAAACACTAAAGATTAAACTCACTAAATGATTCGAAAATACTAACTATTCTCATTACTACCACAAATACATCACCTCCA